GTTATCTCTGGAACGATGTAAAAACGAGCGTTCTTGCTCATTTTGCTTCCGAGAAACATGCAAAACGGGACGGAAAACATGAAATTTTGCAATAATCTTGCGCCATCTTTGCACAAAACGACGATCATTTTTCTAATTTCATAGATAACAGAAGACTGTATTTTTTCTAACATAACCCCCCCTTGACTTTAAAGCTGGATCCGCCCCTGAATATCATAACAAGTACACGCAGTCAGGAAAATAAATCAGAATAAAATATTAGGAAAGTTAAGGTTTTCCGACTATCGCTTGCACTGTTTAGATCATTGTGTCGTCGTCGGGAAGACTTTCTTATCCATGACGGCCTAGAAAAACGTGCAGAAAAGTAGCTGCCTTCCAATTAGCGGTTCTGCCTGACTGTCTGTCAGCGATTTTAATTCCAATGTTGTCAACTCAAGCCGGATCCAACAGAGAATATTCCCCACCTGGCACCGCACAAAAACCTCTACAGGGAGATTCAAAGTTGGCGTCATTCCTCTGGAGGTGTGGTCTTGTGGGAGTACAGAGAAAATTGTAAAAAAATTAAATGTTATTAAAAACTCAGATATTTGCAAAAAACTAGATCAGAAGGATGGCAACAATGTTTTTCAAGGCAATCTGCCTAATTAATTTCATAAATACCTGTTGTTTTGCAAATTTTAAAAACTCCGGTAACCATGGATAAACATGAAGCAAACAAAATAAAAGAGCCAACAACGTGCGCTGAGGTTAGGATAACGGTGTCACCTTGCGGTCAGTGCTGGGGCAAATCAGTGATATACCTAAATCGGTCACAACTGTCATCCAAAGCCACCGGTTAAAGGTTATGTATATTGATCGATATTATTGATCAAATAAAATACAATTCTGTAAAAAAAAATCAATATTTTTCTCGAAATCTCGAAGTGGGCCCCTATACACCCTTCAAAGGAATGACGCCACTTTTGAATCACCCTGTATATCCAGAGAGCAAATAATTCCAGATGATGTTTCGAAGCGAGAGTCCGCCCAAAGAGAGGGGGCGTGGCAAGGCCCACCTGGAAAGCAATCTGATTCGACGACGTGAACGTGACTTTAAACACCAGCAAATGTGGATTGGTGCGCAGGATTACTACCGCAAATGGGACAAAGTCAACAGCAAGTTCGACCAATGGACGTCACCTCGATACTACGCAGACAACAACAAGATGCTGTCAGGTAATGCGTAAAAGGGCGAAACCGGCCCATATTCTGATTTTCTCTCTCAGACCTCAGGCATAAGCGGGATAAGGAGGAGTTGCTCGTGAAACGGCGCGATGCCCTCCGCAAGCTGTTCGACGAAGAAAACAGATCGTTCCAAATCGAGCTGACAGTGACAAAGAGTCTGCATAAGCCGCGGGTCAAGGAGGTTTCCACTGAGACTCTGCGCGATTTGAATTGCGAAATGAAGCAAAGAGCAGAAGAGAGGCGGAAGCGGGAGGCGGAAATCAAACTGTACCACCAGTGGCGGACAAACAACCCGTTAATCAGACAGTTCGAAAGCAAGTACAAACTCAAAGATCTGAAACTGTCCTGGTTGGATCAGCAAATCGAGAAGCGGATGCAAAAGGAAGCGGAAGAAAAGGAATGCACTCGGCTCATCAAAGAGCAGCAAGAGTCGAGAAGGCGGGCGAAGGAGAAAGAAGCCGAATTGAATCAACAGAGCGAGGAGAAGAAATCGAGGCTGAAAGAGTGCCTGGACAAGCAAGTGGAAGACTTGAAGCAAAAGCAAAAAATCAGTGACGAACTACGCGACAAAGAAGCTGCAGAACTGAAGCGGAAAAATGAACTGTGGGAATTGCAGGAAGCCACTAAACTCGAACATCAAAGACGCCGGGCGAGAGAAACGGCGTTGTTCAACATCAAGCAGCACAAACTTAAGTTGAAGCAAAAAGCCCAAGATGTGCTGGAAGCGTTGGGACATGACCAAGAACTGATACTCCGGATGAAGCGACTTGAGCTGGAACATCTTATGGAGGACGAAAAGAAACGGATCGAAATTAGACGCGACCTCGAAGAATTCCTAAGCATTGTGAGGCAACAACAAGACCTAGAGAAACAGCGACAGAAACAGTTTGACTTCCTTTTCGACTCCGAAGCCAAGATCATTCACGACAAGCAGATGCAAAAGTGGAACAGCGAAGAATTCGCCCGGAAAAATCTGCTGAAAAGTGTTTTGGACGCTCTCAATAAACAGGTGGAGGACAAACTTGCCATCACGAAGCAAGTCCAAAGGGAGGTCCTTCAGGAACGCGAAGACATGCTGGTCAAAGTCGAGCAGTACCACAGCGATTTGCAACTCCTAAAGGAAGAGGACGCGAAGCGCAAGCAGGAGCGAAGACGAGACATTGAAGAGGACATTAAGGAGAAGAACGCCCACAAGAAACAGAAGGAGAATGCAAAAATGAAGCAAATTGACGAGCAACTGCAGCGAGTTCGGCAAGAGGAGGATCGGCTATGTGAAGAAATTATGAAAATCCAGGGCAAATCTAATGGGGGCCGAACTAAAGAGGGAAGGCACTTTTGTTGACCGACCGCCATTTCCCCTCTAGGAACTTTATTATTTCTCTAGCGGCAATAGTTCAAGTCCAATTGACATTAGACCATTGCCCCTAGAGAATAATCACGTAAAACCATTAATTTTTGGCATTATCGGTTACTCTCTCGCAGTCATAGCCCAATATTGAAAAGTATTAGACTATTGGCAGTAGAGGAGCAATAGTAAATGTGAACTCAGAAATGTTTTTGAAGAATATAAGAAAAAGGTCATTGGGCTCGTTTTTTTGTTTCCCAACAGGAACAAGTGTTTATTAGTCATTGGGACTGGAATATACATTTATAGGCCTCAATCGCAGATAATACTGCTTGGTATCACAACTTGAAATTGAATACTTTAACAATCATAAAGATAAAATTAAACTAACTGGCGACTTAATGAAGTACATTATCAGAACATTGGACTTAGAAACATCCAGTGTCTTGCAGGATCCGGAATAATGTCACACATGAGTCTGGCCACTTTTGCTGATGTGATCCAAATTGGTCTTCATCTCCTCGAGCTTTCGCATGTCACTAATGGAGGAGTTGCACTTGTCCACCACCAAGTTGTGGTAGAAGTGAGCAGCAAACAACACACACGAGATCAGAACTGGAACGACGATTATGGTGCAACTCCTAAAGGAAGAGGACGCGAATCGGAAGCAGGAGCGAAGACGAGACATTGAAGAGGACATTAAGGGGAAGAATGCCCGCAAGAAACAGAAGGAGAATGCAAAAATGAAGCAAATTGACGAGGAACTGCAGCGAGTTCGGCAAGAGGAGGATCGGCTACGTGAAGAAATTATGAAAATCCAGGGCAAATCTAATGGGGGCCGAACTAAAGAGGGAAGGCACTTTTGTTGACCGACCGCCATTTCCCCTCTAGGGACTTCATTATTTCTCTAGCGGCAATAGTTCAAGTCCAATTGACATTAGACCATTGCCCCTAGAGAATAATCACGTAAAACCATTAATTTTTGGCATT